TAACTGAAAATTGGGGATTTTTTTTAAACCAGAGAAAACCAGGATCCCGATGATAAAACAATCAAAATGAACTACCTCTGAGAAATTATTTCCCCCCTCAAAAGTAGGAACTCTCTTTTTTATCTGAAAAGCTTTGTATGTGTATATTACACTAGAAAGCAAGCAAGTAATGTTGAATTTAACCACAACGCAACAAAATGCTGATTAGATACATGACTTTGAACATATTAGAATGACCTTTCACAATGTCCCTTCAGCATTTCTTTGACGTGATAAAACTATTCCATTTTTCCTGTGAATTAGTGGAATGGAGAAGCATGGTCATTATTGCATAGAATATGGTATATAGCTTGAATAGTACACCATACCTCTTTCTAGTTGTGGATTTATCACCTCTCTTTCCTTTCATGTGTCATATTGGACTCTGCTGTTAAAGCTCTGCTGTGTTTCCTGTTGATGACCCTAATCTGTTCATCAGCTTCCGGAAATCATACAATGCTGATTACATATAGGTCAGTTCCAGGTAATTCCTCTACTGTCTCAGCACAGCACTCAGCATAGAATCCCAGCAGAAAACTCCCTCAAATTAGCTACAGCTCTAATGCAACGCTGCAATTCTGTATTGTTTTCTATTACAGAATCAGATGAATTGGTCATTAGCTAGTAAAGGGGATGAAGACACTCATTTTGGACATATGAATTCAACTTCTGGTTTACATTGTGAATAAAAAATGTCATTGGTAGAGTCACCCTAGCTCTAAATTGCCCACTTTACAAATTCAGGCACAATCCAATACTTTTGGCTCTTTTCTTTGTAGGAAGATTGCTGGTCAAGACTCAGGTGTGTTCACAGTCTAGCTGCACTATCTATAAATAATCACTTCTAATTATGTATTTAATAGTCTTTTGATTTTTAATTAATATAAAATCAAACTCTTAGCAGCACTAACAGGTGCTTTGTTCTGACACAATGGCTCAATAGCAGAACATTTTGTCCATAGCACTTAAACCATAATATGTACAACTGGGTAAAATTTTCAAAATCATCTACACGATATTAAAACCTATTTTCTAATGCACCTGTGTTACACGGAAGCCACGGACCTCAATTAATTAAGGCCCTGTTGATCATTTTACTTATTAACCTTATATAATGTAGGGAACTGTACTGTATATTCTATATAACAACATCCATATTTTCCAATTATGTCATTTCACAGGAAAAGCAGAGAAATAAGTGACTTGCCCAAGGTCATTCAATGGCTGAGTCAGACAGATTAACCAAGGTCTCTGACTTCACAGTCTACATACTAAATACCTATGAATGAATACAATGCAGCTGGCAAACACAGAGAGGCCCAAACACAATTATAAGGCAGATATGGGATAAGTACAACATGGTTTGTTTAAAATATGATGGTATTGTAAATAACATCATTTGGTACACCCGAATATAGAAGACACTTTCATGCTGAATTTTTTTTTTAAGAATGGTGGCCCTTTCACCACAGCCCACTCTGCTGCTGCTTTGTTGTAACATGATGAGACCTTGTTGCTTTTGAAGCAAGTGGTTTTCAAATTCTTATTCAGAATTAGTGTACTTTTATGTTTAAATTTTAACACATCAGGCATAAAAGAAAATGTCTATCCCAGGTATCTTTGATAAATTATTATAAATGCAATTCAATAGAAACATGAATAGTAATAAGGAACTGTTAACTTGCTCTGCAAAAAAAAAAGCCAGTCCACAAACCTGAAATTTCATCTCAGTTCCCACAAAACCTTTGTCTAACTCAAATAATTCATCTGCATTTAAACCTTTTACTGTGGCACTCCCCTGCAACTACATCCTTTCTTCCTTTGTTCACTTCAGTGCAAATTTTAATAGTATAGGAAACAACAAAGAGGCTGTGGTTCAAACATGACAGGTAGGTAATGAAAACTGTACAAATACACTTAAAACAGTAGGACAGGAAATAAATAAAACTTTCACTGAGACCAGCTACTAAGATTAATTTCTTTATACAGGTATGTCACAAATATTACCATTCGTCTCATGCTTACATTTACATTATGCTTAGCCCAGTTATGCAAAACGCTCTGTTAACATTGCCCTGGGTAGCAGGGATTCAGCCACAGGAAACTGCTTGGAGGACCAGCCCCATAAATAAGTGTCTTTGCCTGAAGTCCAGCAAATTCGAGGAATTTCCTTGAGCTCAGGTCTCTTCCGATTTACTTCAATGGAAGCAAGATTAGGTACATGGGCTGCAGGGAACATACCTGTGATGCCAATATTTATATTCTGTTGTGGATGGTAACCAGATAGTTAACAGAAATTCCTTCCTGAAATAATGTTGATGAAGTTCTTATAGTGGTCTTATTTATCAGTCTGTAGCAACATGTAGTTTTATATTCTATCCACCAAAGGATGAGGTATTGTATTATATTGTATCACAGTCAGAGTTAGAAGCATTACATTTTATGGCATAATTTAGAGGTGTCAAGTGCCCTGAAACAGAAACTGTTCCCAAATGCAGGAGCAGCCTACCCTTTTCCTCTTCCCACCACAGACTCAAAGGGCTCTAAAATGACCCAGCTCTTCCATGAACTCTTTGCAGGCACTTGCTTACTTCTATTGTACACTTGATTTTGAACTTCCGCTACAGGCTGAGCTTTCCTTGGGGCAGTGTACCTATCAATGGTGACTTTTAGAAAGTTGTAGTGAACTTGTTGTTGGGATTGGGCTGGGCTGGGCTGTACACATTTTAACAGCAAGCACACTGTTGGAGGAAGTCATGCTTAAAGCTGGTTTCAAGCTTGTTTTCTGAAGCAATGGTACCCTGAGTTAATGTTGCATTTAAATCTGTACAACTGAACTAGTGCTGACACCCATCCCCTGCAATGGGTAATGTTTTCCTTAATTCCTCCAACACAATGAAAATAATCTAATCTGCCTCATTCTAAAGTATCCAATGGATCATGCAGTTTTAGAAACTAGCAGACTCAGCCATTGTTTTGTTTAAAATAGTCACACAAAACTGCTTCACTTCTCAGGAACACACACACACAATTGAGAAACAAGAAACTCAAAATCTTTTAAATGATTGCTGAATATTGATAAAAAAATGATTAAACTTGCACTGAAAAAAATTAGACCAAGTTGCTAGTTTGAATTAGAGGGCTCTTAATGCAACAAAATTAGTTGTTTGAATTTGAAATATAAAAATTAAGCTTGGTTTAGCATTCACATAAATTATTACACAAGTTTAAGTATGAACATTTGTGACCTTTAGTTAAATTAACTGTAGGAACAATCTCCAGGTGTAAAAATTCACAAAACTTAATGATTTTTTTTTTACAAACGTATTAGGTTTTGAACTGAATCTTTATTATTTAAGTAGAAAAATATTAAATTTACAGTGAATAAACTCTTCTAAGTGCTGCTTTAGGCACATTCACTAGTCTTTATTCCTACATGCAAGTGTAGAATGTTGTCTTCTCATCTATACCAAGTAATATTCAACTAACAGACTCTACCTCTGTACCACTGAACAGACAATAGTTTATTAGCATGTAACAGAAATTCTGTCTGACAGGCAATATCAGCTTTTCTGAAAGACTAAACAAAACTGACACCTGTATGATTAGGTCTGAAACTCCAGATGGACCTTTTGGCACCAGTTCACAAGATTGCCAACTAAATCCTACATCTGTTTCTATAGTACAACATTTCCCCTACCCCTTCTCATGTTTTT